GGTGGCTCTAAACCACTGGGCTACCAGGGCTGCCCTTTTCACTGTAAAATTTAAAGTGTGACTAGAGGGATCCCTGGGTGGCGCAGTGGTTTGGCGCCTGCCTTTGGCCCAGGGCGCGATTCTGGAGACCCGGGATCGAATCCCACATCGGGCTCCCGGTGCATGGAGCCTGCTTCTCCCTCTGCCTGTGTCTCTGCTCTCTCTCTCCTCTCTCTCTGTGACTATCATAAATAAATAAAAATTTAAAAAAATAAAAAATAAAAATAAAGTGTGACTAGATAAAGCATCCCTTCTAGTTCTAAAATTCTACATTAATTCCTCATAAGCCATTTTACAGCCCAAATTACTGTAGAAAATCTAGAAGTCATTTCCATATTCAGGAAAATGTTCATGGAAGACATAAGTAAAAAATGACTTTGAAAGATGGATGAATTTAGTCTAGGTGAATGAAGACAGGAGGTAATTCCAAGCAAATGAGTAAGAGTTAACAGGGCACAGTGACAAAATAATTGAGCTAAGGTCCTTGTACAGTGAACAGTTCAGGCAAGGAATATTTTTAAAGAATCTGTTGATCACTCTTAAAGCATCTTTCTCTGAATTAGTAACTGAGCACTTTACATTTGCCAAAAAGTTTATTAATAGAACTTAAGAGTTTAAAGGAAGTGATCACTTGTTTTAAAATAACTTTTGTTTTAGGGGATCCCTGGGTGGCTCAGCAATTTAGCGCCTGCCTTTGGCCCAGGGTGCCATCCTGGAGTCCTGGGATCGAGTCCCACTTCAGGCTCCCGGCATGGAGCTGCTTCTTCCTGTGTCTCTGCCTCTCTCTCTATGTCTATCATAATAATAAGTAAATCTTAAAAAATAATAAAATACGTGTTAAATCACGTATTACTTAAAACCTTTATCTGATACAACAGTAAGTAATAAATAGCTTGTAAGGGATCCCTGGGTAGCTCAATGGTTTAGCACCTGCCTTTGGCCCAGGGCGAGATCCTGGAGTCCCGGGATTGAACCCTGCATCGGGCTCCCTGCATGGAGCCTGCTTCTCCCTCTGCCTATGTCTCTGTCTCTCTCTCTCTCTCTCTCTCTCTCTCTCTCTCTCATGAATAAATAAATAAAATCTTTAAAAAATACATAAATAGCTTGTGATTCTCATGGGGGATATATAGAGAGGAAACTTAACCAAAGGGGAAAAAATGCTTTTTTAAAACATAAGTGTCATCAGGGGCACCTGGGTGCCTCAGCCAGTTAAGTGTCTGATTCTTGATTTTTTTTTTTTTTTAAGATTTCTGTTTGTTTATTTGACGGAGCAAATAGGCAGAGCCGCAGGCAGAGGGAGGAGAATCAGGCTCACCACTGAGCAAGGAGCACCACATGGGGCTCCATCCCAGGACCCTGGGACCATAACCTGAGAGAACACAGATGCTTAACCGACTGAGCCACCCAGGCGCCCCAACTCTTGATTTCAACTCAAGTCGTGATCTCAGCATCTGTGAGATCAAGCTCCAGGTTGAGCATCATACTGGGGGTGGAGCCTGCATAAGATTCTCTCTCTCCCCCCCCCCACCACTCTCCAGCCCTCTTGTGATCTTCTAATAAATAAATAAGCAAAAATTTTAAATGTTGAAAAAATACAGAAGGTAATCAAAGCAGATGGAAAAAGCATTAGTGTCAAGCATTATGGATTGAGAGACGCAGTATACAAGCACAACCTGAAGAATCAGGCTGCCTGGGTTGAAGCTTGATTTGCCAGGGACTGTGGATGATGGGTTGCAGTGGTCATGGTTACTTAACTATTTTGCCTCAATTTCCTGTTCTGTAAAATGAAGAAAATAATAACACTTTCTTCATAGGGTTATTGAGAAGATTAATAAATGGTGCCTAGTACATATTAAATGCTCAATAGATATTGACAGCTAGCTATATGTTATTGTAGCTAGCCAGTCATATAGACTGAGAAACTAAAAGAACTTTTCCTTCCTCCATAGATGAAGGATGAAAGTTAGAAACAAGAAAAATTGTTGCTCCTCAATAATAGAGGTTTAAATGATTAATACCCTGTGCTTGTGAGGCTGCAGTAAAATACATGTTCACATAGAAGTATGAAGTGGTCCATTGTTTAGAAAGGAACTTGTTCTATATTTTCACTCACTAATTTCACCTCTGTAAATATATCCTAAGGACAAAGAATCCAGAATATGTGCAAATACGTCTCTACAAAATTATTAAAATTGGCATTTATTTATAGCAGTGGAAAATTGGAAGCAATCTATCCAAAAGTGAATAGTCAAATTATGATAAATCTACTTGAAGTACTTTACTAAATAATGATTAAAATTTTTTGAAGGAGGGATCCCTGGGTGGCTCAGCAGTTTAGTGCTGGTTTTTCTTTCACTTAGTATTGTAGCAAGTAATATCGCAAGTGGTTCTAGGACACTGGACAGTGTGTTCCATTTGTACTAAAATTCTTATTTGGGGGGATCCCTGGGTGGCGCAGCGGTTTGGCGCCTGCCTTTGGCCCAGTGCGCGATCCTGGCGACCCGGGATCGAATCCCACGTCGGGCTCCCAGTGCATGGAGCCTGCTTCTCCCTCTGCCTGTGTCTCTGCCTCTCTCTCTCTCTCTCTCTCTCTCTCTCTCTCTCTCTCTCTCTCTGTGACTATCATAAATTAAAAAAATTTTAAATTAAAAAAAATTCTTATTTGGGGCAGCCCCGGTGACGCAGTGGTTTAGCGCCACCTTCAGCCCAGGGTGTGATCCTGGGGACTCGGGATCAAGTCCCATGTCAGGCTCCCTGCTTTTCCCTCTGCCTGTGTCTCTGCCTCTCTCTCTCTCTCTCTCTCTCTCTCTCTCATGAATAAATAAATTTTAAAAATAAAAACACTACTTTTTTACTCCCCCACATGCTTTATGTATATGTTGTCATATTTTACATCTTTTTATTTTGTGTATTTTTTGACTGATTTTTTTGATACAATTGATTTTACGACTTTTGTATTTTTACCTTTATCCTAGCTTTATAGGTGATCTATCTTCACTGTATCTTTGCTTTTACCAATGAAGTTTTCCTTTCACTATTTTCTTCTGTTTATGGCCTATTCTTTTCACTTAAAGAATTCCCTTTAACATTTCTTGTAAGGCTGGTTTAGAGTAATGGACTCCTTCAACTTTTATCTTGCAAACTCTTTTTCCTTTCATTCTGAATGGTAACCTTGCTGGGTATAATATTCTTGGTTTTAGATTCTTTTCCCCTAGCACTTTGAATATATCATGCCACTCTCTTCTGGCCTGCAAAGTTTCTGCTGAAAAATCAACCTTATCGGGTTCCTGTTTCCTTTTCTCTTACTGCTTTAAGATTCTGTGTTTTTCTTTAATTTTTGCCAATTAATTATTATGTGTTGGGGTAGACCTTCTGGGTTTCCATCTCCTTTATGGGCTTCCTTTGTGTTCTGAAACTGGATATCTGTTTCCTTTTACAGGTTAGGGACATTTTCAACCATTATTTCTTCAAATAAATCTTCTGTCCCTATCTCTGTCCTTCTGACCTCTTTATCCAGATGTTATCATACTTGATGTTGTTGCAGAGGTCCCTTAAACATAACCTCATTTTTTAAATTCTTTTTTGCTGTTCATTGTTTTCCATTACCCTGTCCTCCTAATCGCTGATCATTCTTCTGCATTCTCTAATCTGGCATTGATTCTCTCTAGTTTGTTTTTTGTATTTGTGTCTCTTTGTTAAAGTACTCACTGAATCATCCACTCTTCCCTCCAACCCAATGAATATCTTTATGACCATTACTTTGAGCCTTTAATCAGGTTGATTGCTTATTTCCATTTTGCTTAATAGCTCTTTTTTCTTGGCTCTTGTTTTGCTCTTCCATTTGGATCATATTCCTATCTCCTTGGTTTATTACTCTGTGTGTCTGTGTGTTAGGTCAGTCCTCTCCCTCTCTTGTTCTTGAAAGTAGTGGCCTTATGTTAGAAGTGTCCTGTGGTGCCCAGTAGTGCATTCCCCACCCTCATCACCAGAACTAGGCCCTCCAGAAATGTTTAGTGTGGGGACTGCATGCCCCCTCCTGTGACTGGTCCAAGACTACTGTGGATGCAGTGGAGGCCAGGCTTGCTCCTAGCACAGCTGGTTTGGAGGTCAGATTACAATTGTTTAAGGTGAATGGGGATGACCCAGGCTACCTACCTACCTACCAGGTGTGGTGGGTCAGGAGTCATTTAGGGTGAGTGCCTTTGGGAGGAGTGGTTCTGAGGGGAGCATGGAGTGGGGCAACTAGTGTTAGCAAGGTAAATGGAGAATGTCACAACCAGCTCCCACCAACATCAGAACAGCAAGGCTGGAGAAGGGCAAGGAAAATGGCAACTGCTAGCACTTTTCCTTCTGCAAAAAGTGCCTCCAGGTCCCTGTCTGTCTGGCATTTGCCCTGTAGTTAGTAAACCTCTGTCACATACAACCCATGTACTATTAAGATTGCTGCCTCTGTTAAAAAAAAAAAAAAAAAAGATTGCTGCCTCTGCTGAGTTTCAGGGTGAGTGATGTAGTGAACTGGCCCTGTAAAAGCAGAGTCTTAGTATAGCCTTCTAGCTCCTGGAATTAAGCCCCACCGATTTTAAAGCTAGATGTTATGGGGCCTCCTCTTCTCTGTATGAAACTCCAGGGCAAGGGAGCCCAGTGGGCACTTGATCCCCTCATTCCTCAGGGAGGACCTCTGTACCTGAAATATCCTTCCTGCCACATGGGGGTTTGGTTCTGGATAGCATCTCTTCCCCTCTTCCCCTGTCAATGTGGCTTTTTCTTTACATCTTTAGCTATGAAAAAGCTGTTCTGTTGGGTCTTCAGGTCCTTTTCAGAGTGAGTTGCAGTCTTGATGGGTTCGTGGGAGGAGATGAGCTCAGGATCCTCCTACGCCGCCATCTTCCCAAGCTCTTCATCTTTATTTTTAGCTTTGATGCATGAAGTGACAAATTGTCTAAATCTGGCTTGTTTTACAGATAAAGCAATGGTTTTAAAACATCACCCAGACAAACGGAAAGCAGCTGGTGAACCAATAAAAGAAGGAGATAATGACTACTTCACTTGCATAACTAAAGGTAAGAAAATACTTTAGAGTCCGGAATTTCTAATAGTAGTGATGTTTATTAAGTGCTGGGATTGGATTCCTAGTATATATTCTGTAGTTAATTTAACTACACCATGACATTTCAAAACATTTTCAGTTATATCTGGTTGTTTCTGATAATCTGCCCCAGAGCCTCACTACAACAAAGTGAGGTTCTCCCAACCAGCAGCATCAGCAGTACCTGACTGCTTATCAGGAATGCAGAAGCTTGGGCCCCACCCCAGATCTACTGACACAAACTGCATTTTAACAAGATCATCTGGTGATTGTTAAAGAAGCTCATCTTAGAGTTAATTCATCCTAAGTGTTAGGTCTAACAAGAATACTAGTTTCTCCATTTCAGCTACTTAGTAGGACTAAATTATTCCTCGGATGTTTTGCTAATTTAAATCCAAAAATTGATTATATTCTCCTTTGGACCCTACGACTGTTTATTGCTGTTTATGTAACCATATCTTCATTCAGCAAATTAATATAGGTTGTTGCCATTTCTAAATGTGTCCTTAAATGTGATTTTACTCCCAATATGGGGCTTGAACGCACAACCCCGAGGTCAAGATCTGAGCTGAGATCAAGAATTGGGTGCTTAACTGACTGAGCCACCCAGGAGCCCCTGATTTTACATTTAGATGCTAAATTTTTTAAATTGTGTACATATGTTTCAAACTTAACTTTTTGGCCCATTTTTACACAGTGCTCAAGATGCTAAAGATTCTTTGATTTTTTTACATCCTTGGAATCTAGCAGCTAATTTTCTATTTGTTTTTCCTCAGAGTCATGCGTTCTTAAGGGATGAGTATTTAACCATTGTTTTTGTTACGTGCCTTCCAGAAGAGGTACTGAAAGAAGTTGTGAAGTGAGATTAGATCCCATAAGTGCTGGAGGTGTCAGTAGTTAGAGTCCCATCTTTTCCTTCCCACAAGCACACAAAATTTTTAAATATGAAAAATAACTTTTTTTTAAGGAAGGGAATTTTTTTTCTCACCTATGAGTGGTTTCATAGGAAAAAAAATGTAGAGTCATGGTGATGTGACCTTACCATTTTCTCCTCAGCTTATGAAATGTTATCTGATCCAGTGAAAAGACGGGCATTCAACAGTGTAGATCCTACTTTTGATAACTCAGTTCCTTCTAAAAGTGAAGCCAAGGACAATTTCTTCGAAGTGTTCTCCCCAGTGTTTGAAAGGAATTCTAGGTGAGTTAAGGGATCTCCTTGTGACCATAATGCTGTATTGGCTTGTTTCCTCTGGTAAGAGTTTTGCTCTCTTCCCTCCTCCTCCTCTTACAGAATTGAGCCCCGCTGGTGAACATACTGCTCTTATTTTGCTCTCTGAACAGAAGTTCTGCGTCTCCATGGCGAAATTCCTTTACACCTCAGGGGATGTTTTTCTTTCTGATTTCCTTTGTGGGAAAGAGCAATAGCTGACTTTATGTAATGCAATATTATTACTCAGGTGACAGTAACTTCCCATTCTTTTGCTCGCCCTTTACTGATGTGCATGTACTCAGTTTAGCCCCTTATCATTTGATAAAGTTTTTGTTCTTTCTGAGCTATTTCTTGGAGCATTTCATTATCATAAGGGTCTCTAACAAAGGATGATAGATCTTTAATGTTAGTGTATATATAATTTATTTCATTAAAGTCAGGTTTGTTTGTTCAAGACTTTATTTACTTATTAGAGAGAGTGCACATAAGCAGGGGTGGGAGGAGCAGGTTCCCTGCTGATGCAGGACTCGATTCCAGGACCCTGGGATCATGACCTGAGCCGAAGGCAGACCCTTGACTGACTGATTCACCCAGGTGCCCCTAAAGTCCGTTTTTAAGTGATGTATATCACTATTCTACTTTTTTTTTTTTTTTTTTTAATTCCATCTGCACTGGAAGATTTCCTTAGATCACAGCTTGGCTGCACATTGGAATCACCTGAAGAGCTTGAAAAACTGATGGCTGTGTTCCGCCTGGAGAGCTTGTGATTTAATTGTGATTTCGACTTAATGAGTTTGGGATGCCTGTTGGGTATCTGAATACTCCCAGGTGATTCTAATGTGCAGTCAGGTTTGAGACCCACCTTATTGGTTTAGTGCAGCTTAATATTTTCTCCACTCTCCTCATTTTTGTTTTGTAATCATGTTGAAGGTGGTAAAAACAAAGTAGTGTAATATATTTTGTTGTGGAATGGTTTCATAGAGTAGAAAACATAGGTCAGTGACAGCTTCGGGATCCTTTCAGAGATGATGAGTGAGGTGCTGAACTGAGAAGTCTGACTCTTAGGGGAATGGTTATGGTGATGATGAGGTGGGAATCATCTCTCTATTAACATTATTTTTTTAATTTGGGCCTTCACCTTGCTTTTGTACTGCCTGTTTAGAGGCAGGAGTAAGTATGCTCAGGAAAGGGGTTTTTCCAAACCTGTTTTACATAGGCAGTGTGACAGCTGCTAATTTGTAGAGCTGAAGACAACTTGATGATGAGAACATGGTTTCATTGTTTCCTCTCCAACCCTGTGTACCTTTGTCCTCTCTCATTACACCTGCATTGTTCAACACCCCACTGCTCATCTTCCAGCTCCATCTCTTAGTCACAGGGGAGGGAGATTATAGGGGATTAGTAAAAAAACTTTTATTTTTTAATATTTTTATTTACTTATTCATGAGAGGCAGAGACAGGAGAAGCAGGCTCCATGCAAGGAGCCCGATGTGGGACTCGAGCCTGGGACGCCAGGATCACACCCTGGGCTGAAGGCACATGCCCAACCACTGAACCACCTAGACGTCCCAAAAGTGCTTTTTTAATAAATTAGTTTCTTGACCTTTACAAAATTTTAAACTGAATTTTTCTCTTTTAATGTTTCAGGTGGTCAAATAAAAAAAATGTCCCTAAACTTGGTGATATGAATTCATCATTTGAAGATGTAGATGCGTTTTATTCTTTCTGGTAAATGAATACACTATTTCTATGATGCTGTCATATTTAAAAGGCTAAGAATTCAGTAAATACTTGGTTCATAACCTAATTGAAGGATAAGAGGATCACAGAACCTTTCCTGAACAAAAGCACTTTATGCAGAAATAATCATAAAAGGTTTTCACAAAATGCTATATTATCTCCTATGTGACGTTTAAGCTTTTATGATTTTTTAAATCTGTTTTCTAATAATCAGATCCCTAAATATCAAGCATACTATAGTGGTAATGAAAAATAAGGAGCCACTGGATTTCAATAAAAATAAATACATTTCAAAAAAATAAAAAAATAAATACATTTCATTTGTCTTATTTTAAAAAATACTTTAATACATGTGGAAGGCAGTGCTTCTTTGTAACTGATTCACTAATGTTTGATAGTATTCATGGCCAATTTAGAATACATGTGCTATATTTTCTCATTAAGCATACAGAAAATGAAAACATAAAATTATTGTGAAACAAAAGTGACCAAATTTAGCTCTAACAGTTATAGTCTCTTTTCCCTTCAGAGGATTACAAATCAGAGATACAGTAACCACTTTGAGGGTTATCCTAAGACTTGACAGATTAGGACAGGTGAGATAGGGAGAACTGTAACAAGTCCCAGGCAAGAGAGAAAGCTAATGGAGATGGCAGGGAGTTGTAATTTTAATTTATGGGTGATGAGTGTACTTTTAGATTTTGATACCAAATAACAGTCATTTCAGAAAGATGAAACAGAAGATGACTTGAGCATAGTGTTAGTTCCGCCAAGGATGGGTGGGATCTACTAAGACGAACTCATCCATTTGCTATTAAAGTTTCTTAGAATTACATGCATCTAATTTAATTTTAAAAGGAAAATTTTTTTCGTTTGTTTTGGCTTAATTTTATTTTGTTTTTATATTAGGTATAATTTTGATTCTTGGAGAGAATTTTCTTATTTAGATGAAGAAGAAAAAGAAAAAGCAGAATGGTATGTATGTAAGGTGCTAATAAAGGAAGATATTTGGTTCTTGTGATGATGAATAAATATACTACATATATTTTCTTAAATAATTTTCTCTGTGTATCCATTTTTTAGTTTTTTAGTAGTATTTTGAGACCCCATCTCACAAGTTAAATACTTTTGACATGAATATTCCCCCAAAAATCAACCAAAATTAAGTAGGACACCCTTTAACTAATGTTAATAGTGACATGGCATTTTAACCTCAGTAATTTGTTTGCAACATTTTGTTTTTTAGTCGTGATGAGAGGAGATGGATTGAAAAGCAGAACAGAGCAACAAGGGCACAAAGAAAAAAAGAAGAGATGAACAGAATAAGAACATTAGTTGGTAAGTATAATTGATATTTTTTAAAAGGTTCTTTAATCAGATACTAGAAATTGAAAAAGTTAACCTTTTTCTCTGGTAGACAATGCATATAGCTGTGATCCAAGAATTAAAAAATTTAAGGAAGAAGAAAAAGCCAAGAAAGAAGCAGAAAAGAAAGCAAAAGCAGAAGCAAAACGGAAGGAGCAAGAAGCTAAAGAAAAAGTAAGAGGACATCTTATGAAACTAAGATGATGAAGTTGGGCTTTAAGCATTCATAAAATCTTCAATCTTCAGATCTATGTAAAAAGCTATAATTTTGAGGGGTGCCTGGGTCGCTCAGTCGGTTAAGTGTCCAAATCTTGATCTCAGGGTCATGAGTTAAGCCCTGTGTTGGGCTCCATGCTGGGTGTGGAGCCTATTTTAAAAACAACTATAATCTTGAAGTAGAGAATTAGGTGTTGTGTGAATAAATCTTAATAAGTTGTTACCATTGATAATTACAGGGATATTCCTTACCAGCAAATTCTTACTAAGCAGAAGCATGTCGTATATATCCTCTGATACTATGCTTATTTCTAGGGACACCTGGGTGGCTCAGCGGTTGGGCGTCTGCCTTTGGCTCAGGACATGATCCTGGAGTTCCGGGATTGAGTCCTGCATCAGGCTCCTATATGGATCTCTCATGAATAAATAAATAAAATTTTTTTAAAAATACTATGCTTATTTCTAATGGGCCTATTTTACATTTCTAATAAATGTAGAACTGTACCAGCTACTTTTCTCAGTTCAACCTTCAGTCTTCCATAACTTGACATGTCACCTTTTTTCCTAATTTATTTTAAGGTTGATTTTTTAATACGATTATAGATATTTAGAAATTCTAAGTTTCTTATTAAAATGATTTTATTTTCCATTATTAAAGCAAAGACAAGCTGAGTTAGAAGCTGCTCGGTTAGCTAAAGAGAAAGAAGAGGAGGAAGTTAGACAACAGGCATTATTGGCGAAGAAGGAAAAAGATATCCAGAAAAAAGCCATTAAGAAGGAAAGGCAAAAACTTCGAAACTCCTGCAAGGTACGTCAGATTGTGACTGAACCAACACTAGGTAACAAATCCAATTGCTGAGTAGACTTAAGAATTTTTCTTTTCTTCCACTGTGCAAACATAAACTGACACATTTTATCTTATTTAAACTTCTTAAATAACTTTAAATTCACTTTTTAAAAACTTCACATGTGCATATTTCAGTAGGCAACTGTGGTAATTGGGGTTTTTTTTACATAACATCGTGTTTATTTTCAAACCTAAAATAATCTTGTTCGATTATTCTAATAGTCTGTATTTATGTCTTTGATTATTCCAGTAATGTCTTTGTGTGGTTGATTTATTCAAATTAGGATCTAAAGAGGATCATTACAGAGGCTTCAGTTGTGTCTGTGACAGGTCCCCCCACCATCACCACCTCTCTTCCTGTTTCTCATTTCCGTTCATTTGTCGAAAAACCAGATCATTTGTTCTGCTAATGTCCCGGACTTTGGTTTTGGCTGGTTGCTTCCTTATTGGAGTTAAGTCTATTTTTATCTTAGAAAAAGTTTTTAGAAGTTAATCTTGAGTTCTTTTTAAGGAGCTGAAAGATTTCATTTTTATCAAAATAGATCTTGTTTGGGAGAATACTAGTATTTTGCATTCAGATAGTTTTCACTAAAAACTGACCAAAAAATCCCAGAAGTTTTCAAATGTAGTTTTGCCCAAGAGCTGTTCTTACATTTTAAACTGGTAAAGTTAGAGACTGGTATTATTTTTTATCGAATAGCACTGAATGAATAAATTAATGAACTGCCAAGCTATAGGGAGAGATTGCCATACTGTATTGTGTACTATTCCACGGAGTTAACTTCAGCGAGTGTGTAAGTGCTTACTGTGTGTGGAAACATTCTCTTCCATGTCACCGTCCAGAGGCCCTAGATATTGGATATATATTTTAATTTATACCATCCTGAATCTTCACTTAATAATGTAATTGAAATTAACCTGCCCCATCAGTAAGCTTTGAAAACAGTTTAGTCAAAATAAAAGCACAAGTGGCCTCTTCAGGCTTTTGGTCAGCAAGAGGAAATAAAATAGAAAAAAAAAAAAAAAAAGAAGTATTTTCCTTGGATTTCACCCAGGAAATTGTTTTGAGAAGGATGCATTGGATCATAGTGATAGAGTATGTGTGAGAGCAAACTACCTGGGTTTGAAGTCATTCTCCACCAGACACTTACTGTCTGCGGGCCCTTCAGCCTTTGTGCCTCAATTTCCTCATCTATACAGTAGCTGAAACAGTACCTAGTAGTAGAGTTGTGAAGTTTAGATGAGATTATTCACATGCAGTATTTAGCACATTTGGCATATGAGAAATCTGTAAAAACTTAAAAAGGCTAATTAGAAAATAGAAAGTGTGAATAGTACCTAGAGATGATGCATAAATGAGGGTAAGTGTTCTGGCATTAGGTAACTCTTCTATTGCTCCTTTCTAGCAGGAGTTCATGGATTCATCAGATAGCTGGTGAGCACTTATTATGTGCCAAGCACTTAAAATTGATGTACATATAATGATGATATGGTCTTTGCCTTCTAGAAATCTGGTTAATGATGGAGAATTAAAACCAAACACATTATGATGAGCACTAGGATGAGAAAGTACCACAAGAATGGTAGTCAAGGCAGGCTTTTGGATCTGGTAGGATTTAACCAATTGAAGCAGTATATGTATGAGATCAGAGATAAGAGATGTCAGGGAACACAGAAAGAATGCAGAGATTCAGGAAGCACCCAGACAAGAGGCAGCCGAAGAGGTAAGGAGCCAGGTCTTGAAGGATTTAACAGGTAATCCAGGTATCCCGAGTATGGTGCCTTCAGCTGAGAGGGTCGGAATAGAAAAGGAGGAAATGAATGAGTATTTAGGAGATAGACGTGGCTGCTGCCTGTGTGCCATTGATCATATTTTGGAGGTGGTTAGTAAAGGAGGATTTACATAGTCCTGGTTTCCTGCGTGGAGCACTAGGTGGATGATGATGTAATTGAATGAAATAGGAAACAAAGGAAAAAGCTGAAAGGAAATGAGTTCAGTCTCCTGCCATTTCCACCTGTACCAGTTGACTTTAGAACACGTTGAGCGCATTGAGATGCTCGGGTAGTAATTATGAGTAGGTGGTTGGGCGTACAAGCCTGGAGTTTGAGTGGGATCTCGAACAGTCTTTATCTCCATGCCACTAGGAACCATGTGAGATCACCGAGAAAAAGGATTAAGAGGGAGGAGGATGGAGGATGCAAACACACTACTCAAAATACTGATAAACAGGCAGCCCTGGTGTCCCAGTGGTTTGGCACCACCTTCGGCCTGGGGTGTGATTCCGGGGTCGCGGGATCAAGTCCCACATCAGGCTCCCTGCAGGGAGCCTGCTTCTCCCACTGCCAGCATCTCTGCCTCTCTCTTTCTCTCATGAATAAATAAATAAAATATTTAAAAAATAATAAAATAAAATACTGATAAAGGAAGAGGAGCCAGGGAAGCAGTGACCAGGCAGGTAGGAAGAAAATCAGTAGTGCTTCTGGACACTAGAGACGGGTCAGCAGTAAAAGCAGCATTGGGATCTTCGTGAAAGCCAGACTGTGTGGATTAAGGAAACATGGAAAAGTGAGGAATGGGAGACATTGAGCACAATCTTAAACTTTTTCTAATATGGGATCCCTGGGTGGCTCAGTGGTTTAGCGCCGCCTTTGGCCCAGGGCATGATCTTGGAGATCTAGGATCGAGTCCCCCGTCAGGCTCCCTGCGTGGAGCCTGCCTCTCCCTCTGCCTGTGTCTCTGCCTCTCTCTCTCTCTCTCTCTCTCATGTCTATCAATGATAAAAAGATAATGTAATGTGTTAAGGAATAGGAGGGATTAGAATTTTTTTTAATTTCACATTTAAAATTTTACAGTTCAGCACAAAGATAAAAGAGGCAGCCTAGGGATCCCTGGGTAGCACAGCGGTTTAGCGCCTGCCTTTGGCCCAGGGCGCGATCCTGGAGACCCGGGATCAAATCCCACATCGGGCTCCCGGTGCATGGAGCCTGCTTCTCCCTCTGCCTATGTCTCTGCCTCTCTCTCTCTCTCTCTCTCTCTCTCACTGTGTGCCTATCATAAATAAATATAATAAAAAAAAAAAGAAGAGGAGGCAGCCTAACAGAATTTTGAGTCGTCATACAAAATTTCGTAAGTGGTTCTCTGAGGAATCATCCTGACTTATACCATCCAGAGATCTTCCACGCCATCACCTTTTTTGTTTTGCCCTCCCCCGTCTTGGTAACAGCTCTGTGTTGCGGGCAGACCGGGAGAGCCCCAGGAGTGTGGTTGGTAATGGTCAGAAGGCCATGCATTTCATCCACCTAGGAATCTCTTGAGAACGTCATGCTCTGCATTTGTGTTTATGGATATGTGCTTCAGTGCCAGTAGATAAAAGATGAAAATGTTTGTGTTTGTGCCTCTAGGCCTGGAATCACTTCTCTGACAATGAGGCAGAGCGGGTTAAAATGATGGAAGAAGTGGAAAAACTTTGTGATCGGCTTGAACTAGCAAGGTATAACTAAGTGCTGCTGAAGTCTTGCCGTGGGCTTAGGACACAGTTTCATCCCCTTTTTTCCTTTAGCTTACAGTGCTTGAATGAAACACTCACATCATCTACAAAGGAAGTAGGAAAGGCTGCTCTGGAAAAACAGGTAATAGAACACATCACTTCTATCTTTATTTAGCGTTTAATTCTGTTCATAGTGTTGCTTTCGCCTTATTTCCCCACCTAACATATAAATTACGAATAACAGCAAAGAATCTTTTGCGTCCCCCAGTATGTTTTGCTTCCAGTAAGTGCTCTTGTTACTTTAACTGGATTTAGCTAGGAGTTGTTACCATGGATGGTGTTGGATTTGTGGTATCTAGCACATTATAGTTTTTTCAGTCATTGTTAGAAAAAATAATGTTTTGATTTCTCCTTGAACATCTTTGTAGGACAGTAACATTTAGGACCAAAAGAAATCTTTGTTCTGCCTCGTGTTCACATTTTATTTTACAGATGGGGAAAAAGGCTCAGAAATTCAATTCAGTGTAACAAGTATTAGTACCTACAATATACAGCACTATGTGTAGGTTGTTTGGAGGAAAGCCTCTAGTGCTGTTGCTGCTCCAGAGGAGTTTAGGAAGTTACACTGAAGAGAAAAGGCCTGAGGACCAGAAGATGGAGGGTCTGCAGTAAATGCTGTAGGCTAGACAGGAAGTGCCCAGTGCAGGGCAGAGTGGTCAGGCAAGGCTCGGTGAAGGGCTGGAGCCTGGCCTTTTTTTTTTTTTTTTTAAGATTTTATTTATTCAGTCATGAGAGACACAGAGAGAGGTAGACACACAGGCAGAGGGAGAAGCAGGCTCCCCACATGGAGCCCGATGTGGGACTCGATCCCAGGACGTTGGGACCACGCCATGAGCTGAAGGCAGACACTCAACCTCTGAGCTACCCAGGCGTCCCATTGATCCCGTCTTGAAGGAAAGACAGTGCTAAGATGAAGGTCAGAGGGAAGCATGAACCGTACCATATAGGGCGGAGCAGGAAGGAGAAGTGAGAGATAAAGATGGTGAGGAAAAGTAGAGCCCAGTTAAGGTTTTTAATACCATGGTAACTGTTTTCCATTACTGGAGATACTTGAGTAGCAAAGGGTTAATGTGATATGAATCTGGTATTTGCTGGCAAGATGTGCCAGACAAGTGTGACTAGTTAAAAGACTCTCACTAGGACTTGGGCTGTGAGAGGTGAGGAGAGTCTGGAGCCACTGGCACTGGGTGACTGGTTCTGAGGAATGGACGGGGGAAATGAGTCACAGATGACCCCAAGAGACCTGTGGACAGAGGCAACAAGGCCCATTAAAGGTTTTATTACTTGTGCACATGTTTAAAGGTTGCCTGGACGTAACAATGTAGCGGGTGAAACGTCAAGATAAAACAGGCCACTTTCTATGTCATTACCTTTTCGTAGAGAATAAATGAGGTTATCTTCTGAAACAATGGATATGAGCTTAAAGAGAGCTTTGAAATAACCCTTATGGGTGAATAACCCAGTGACTGTATACTTGACAAGTAGTGTCCAACGCAAGTAGAAGTCACACAACACAAACACAAGACAGGTCAAGTTGAGGGTGGTCCTTGGTTCCTCAAGCAGAGCTATGCAGCCCGTGGGCAAGCTCGAGTGAGAAGCTGATGGCCCGTCCCGGGGTTGGCTTGGGAGGCATGTAGGACGTTGTTAGGAGGGTACTGAGAAGTGAGAACCAGAGCCTAGCAAGATGTTTTAAGTCCCTGACTTACCTGTGGTATTTGTGTAGATAGAAGAAATAAATGAGCAGATTAGAAAAGAGAAAGAGGAAGCTGAGGCTCGAATGCGACAAGCATCCAAGAATGCAGAGAAATCAACTGGTGGAAGTGGAAATGGCAGTAAAAACTGGTCAGAAGATGATTTGCAATTACTAATTAAAGCTGTGAACCTCTTCCCTGCTGGAACAAATTCAAGGTACTGGTCTTAATGAAACTTCTTTTTCTTAAGTGATTTTATTTATTCATGAGAGAGAACGCACAAGCAGGAGGGGCAGAGGGAGAAGCAGACTCCCACAGGCCTCCATCAGCAGGGAGCCCACACAGGGCTCAATCCTGGAACCCTGGGAACATGACCTGAGCTGAAAGCAGATGTTTAACCGGCTGAGCCACCCAGGTGCCCCTGTTGACACTTCTCTTGAGCACAAACTGGAGCCTGGGGGAAATGCAGACAAACACCCAAATAACATTGGTTACAGCAGAAACTTCCAGGGCTATGCTTGAGTCTAGACAGACCATGGTCCACTGAATTCAGTGCCATAGTAAAAAGTGTGAAAAGCAGAGTACATTTTGAACCTGCAAGTTTTTGCAGTTTACATCACCAATTTCTCAGGAAATTAAAGATTATGAGACATAAACCTTGACTCTCACATTGGCTTACTCCACCATGGCTAAACTGGGGACTAGGTTGTGTTCCAAAGTTAGTCTTAATCCTTCTTTCTTGCTTCCCACCTCAAACTGGAACTTACTGCAAAGTCTGAGTTTAGAACTCAAAAGAAGGGATGCCTGGGTGGCTCAGCAGTTGAGCATCTGCCTTCAGCCCAGGGTGTGATCCTGGGGTCCTGGGATCGAGTCCTGCATCCAGCTCCCTGCATGGAGCCTGCTTCTCCCTCTGCCTGTGTCTCTGCCTCTCTCTCATGAATAAATAAAATATTCATTAAAAAAAAAAAAAACTCAAAAGAAGCCTTTGAGATCCAGCCTCCCTCTTTCTGTAGATGAGGAAACAGACTGTTCACAGAATTTGTGTCCAAATGGCAGTACACACAAATGTAGGATTTCGTTTCTCTTGGTTTGTACACAGGTATCAATAAGGTTTTTTTATAGACTTGAACCCAAGATTATATGCAATTGGTTTAAACATATGAAAAGCAAAAGGTATTATAGTCCAGATGGTAATAATGAGACCACCAGTTTAAAGCTAATTCTGTATTAGATATCTGGGTCATTCTAAATTTTATTTGGGCATTTTTACCCTTTAACTTACTGTATTGATGTCTCTAGATGGGAAGTTATCGCTAATTATATGAACATACACTCTTCTTCTGGAGTCAAGAGAACTGCCAAAGATGTTATTGGCAAAGCAAAGAGTCTTCAAAAACTTGGTGAGCGAATCAATTTCTTTGCTACCTATAATACATATTTTTAAAATCTATGCAATTTAATGAAAGACTAAATGAGAACTGTAATTGTCATGTTTCAGACCCTCATCAAAAAGATGACATAAACAAAAAGGCTTTTGATAAATTTAAAAAAGAGCATGGAGTGGTGCCTCAAGCCGACAATGCAACACCTTCAGAACGATTTGAAGGTAATGGTTTTTCTTTAGAAAATGCTAGCCATGTGCTCACACTGTGCTAGGACAAGACCTAGGAATACCTAGAAAATAAAGTGTTTTGAAGACTAGAACATGGAAAGCAAGCATATCTAGGACATTCACAGATTGACTTCACCCAACACCACTGTGAACTGCAGTTCTTCCATTTCAGATGCGTTAGCGGAGGGGCTGGGTTCGTCTAACAAATTTTGCTAATCAGTATTAAAGGATATTTAGGGGGCCAGCTGAAATTTGAATAAGGTCTACAGACTAGATAATAGTATTTTATCAAGGTTAATTTCCAGACTTTGAAAAATACCCTATAATTAAGGAAATGTTCTTGTTTTTAAGGAAAAATGAGGGAGTAAAGGGCATCATGTCTACAACTTAACATGGTTCAGAATAAATTACATCTGTTAATATAGAAAAACAAGCATGGTAAAGATATGTTCAGATTTGGGGAATCTGAACATGTACAGGGATTATTTCAAAATTAAACTTAGTTAAAACCTGTTAGGGTGCTGACGTCTCGGTTCTTATAGCTAATTTGATTACCTTGGACTAGTGTGCTTCAAACTGTAAATTATGGCCCATAGGTGGGTCACAAATAGCAAATACCAGAGTGCATTCATTAGACCTTATTTTAAAAAGTGGGCATTATTTGTAAAACTTTTGTCCATGTTTTACATGTGCATTTAGGGTGTGGGACTCTTTTCTGTGAGTAGTAACAAAAATGTTGTAGAAAGTTCTATTTCACTTGCTACATTTGTGAGTCACTAATCTCTTCTCCCCCCTAAACTAATCTTGGGATATGCTTTCCAGGTCAGTTCCAAATATGTTTCAGCATTAACTAACTCTATGTGATAACCTATCCTTGTCCCCTAAGTTCCACTTTTCCTGTATTCTTAATCTGGTACTATCCCAAAATTTCAGTATTAAAGAGGCATATTTTGTATTAAAGAAAAAAAATCACAGTGATTGCAAAAATCAGTGTTTTTCGGGTTTTTTTTTTTTTGGTGTAGGCTGGGCATTATTTAGGCGGTTTTAAGGGAAGTCACAAAGGGAAGTTCCAGAACACGTGGAGGGCACTCTAAAGGGGGTTTTCCTGCTCCTTGTGTCCTCTAGTCTTTGTTCCGAGAGAGGAAATGAGTTCAATCTGTGGTGTTAAATGTGGGCCTGAGACCAATGAAAAGAAATTCCACAAAGGGCTTCCTGGAATTTAAAAGCTGACTTCAGCTTTTTAACAATTTAGCATTTTCATTTTCCTACAGAAATGTGGTATGTAATACATCCTTAGGAAGACCTACATTTTCTGATACCTGTAGGTCTTGTCAAGCACAAAGAGGTTAGTTTAGTAGAGGTGTTTATTAGCATTAGCTCCGAAAGAACTTGGTGGATGGATGTGTTGAAAATGCCACACTGAACACAGAATCTAATGCCCTGGAGCACTGAAGCCTTGGGCGTTTAGATTAATTTTGCTAGGCTCTTTCCTCCAGTATAAAAAGAGAATGTTTTTCAGGGTCTCACCCACCTAAAGTTTGGGGAAGCTCTTGTATGACTTGTGCTTTTGTTTTTGAACTGTTTTTGAACCAGTCTGGTAGGATATTAGGTTGTAAGAGACCAGGAACATAAGGCAGATATTTGAGATATTTTAGGGAATGTGAGCTATCCTAAAAGTTTCTTCAGAATTACCACAGATTTGAATAGATACCTGGCACCAGAAGACTCCCCTGGGAAGGTGCTACAACAGAATTTTCTATCAAAATAAGAGGTTTCAGGAGATCCCTGAGTGGCTCAGCGGTTTAGCGCCTGCCTTTGGCACAGGGCGCGATCCTGGAGTCCCGGGATCCAGTCCCGCGTCTAGCTCCTGGCATGGAGCCTGCTTCTCCCTCCTCCGGTGTCTCTGCCTCTCTCTCCCTTTCTATGTCTATCATAAATAAATCTTTAAAAAAAAAATTTTTTTTAAGTAATTGGACTGGCTTCTCTGTACCACTTTCTTTAAAAAAAATAATTAATTAATAAATAAATAAACAAATTTTTCTTGAACAGGCCCGTGCACAGATTTCACCCCCTGGACAACGGAAGAACAGAAGCTTTTGGAACAGGCTTTAAAAACGTACCCAGTAAATACACCTGAAAGATGGGAAAAAATAGCAGAAGCAGTGCCTGGCAGGACAAAGAAGGACTGCATGAAGCGATATAAGGTGATCGACTTTTCAGAGCTTATGGATTCAATTCCATTACCATTTAAATTATATTCCAAAGAAATGACAACCTTGAAGCTTTCTAGCTCTGGCAGTTAAAAATAAGCCTTTTCATTGGTGTCTTAATTACAGATTTACCCAATGAGAATGTTTTACATAATTGTACCAAAGCAAATATTAGGAAAGTATGCAAATTCTGACAACGTCTTAAACTAACACCTTTCTCCCCTCTTAGGAACTTGTCGAGATGGTAAAAGCAAAGAAAGCTGCTCAAGAGCAAGTGCTGAATGCAAGTAGAGCCAAGAAATGACTTATGACAATCTTTGTTGTGTGTGCATTTTTATAATAAAAACTGAAAATATTGTACAAATTTTCATTCTTAAGATTATAGTGATGATTTGAAAGCGTGATGTACCACTCACTGTGGTGGTCTTATCCTTCCAAAGTATGATGCAGTAGTTGTTCACTCAAATTTCCAAGTACATGTTTTTATTTTTTTCTTTAAAAACTTGCAGATCAGTTAGCTTTATAAATATACATGTCCAAAATATTTTGAGTAGGAGCATTTTAATCACGAAGCCAGCACATGTTCCTGCGAATCTGGTTAAAGTCTGGCAGTTGTTCAATGGGACCTAAGGATTAAAAGAAGACAGAAAGTGAATAAAAGACCAGTACTTAGGCACTCTGTGCGGAGAGAACAGGAGCCGGGCTTACCGACAGCAGCAAGAGCTGGACTCTTATCATAAATATATTTGGTGCACACTTCTTGAATTGTCTCAGCATTTACAGCCTGAAATAGAGAAGATACCGGCATTCAGAGTTTTTTATGGTAAGACAAAGTCTATACCTGGAACTTTTTAGAACTAAAGCAGGGATTTAAGATACATACTTTTCAGCTTTTGTAACAAGGAACTTTTCTACAAGCCCCTATAGTATCTAGAGACTACTCACATCAATTCTTGCTTCAAGCTCAGGGATGGGAATTCTTCTGTTATAGCATAACATTTGCCTACCAATATCTTCACAGATTGGAGTGGAACCTGTTTAAAAACAGAAGGAAAAACTAAATATTGGAATACAGATCAACCATATGAGAACAGAATTAGGTCTTTATTCTTACCATCAAGCTGCAACAACATGTTTGTTTTCAGAAGGTTTTTGGCTCGTGCAACTTCACTTTCAGTTATACTTGTACAGAGTCGCATCCTAAAACCATTCGGAAAAATCAGAATGTCAAGTAGTTTGAAAATGTTACGTGCTTTTTGAATTAATGACTTAAGATATGATGCTGTAGTCCACATCCTATACCAAGACATAGAAGTGATTAGGACTTCAACTCAGTAGCTACACACAAGCTAAAATATCATGGATTCTTTTCCCAGGATCATTAATCTCTCAAAAGTAGTATAATTACAGATAGCATTTCAATATAACATGAAAATAGGCTGACCACATTTTGAGAAATGTTACGATCATTTTGAGACTTCCCCAATCCCCATGCTAGGATCTGACATGCTAGAGGATGGGTCTGGAGGCCATTAGTTTCTCAAAAGAATCCAGCTGAATCTAACAATTACCCAGTTGATGAGATTTAGAGACCTGTAAGCCATTTCAGAACGGTGGAGGAGAGGAACCAGAGCCAAGAAAAAATTTTCCAAGCAACATCAGACTTTCTGTCTCTGTCTCAAGGCACTAGTTCAAAGTAAAACAATACATTTTTCTTTTAGCAATGACAACTTTGGATTCATTTGCATAACACCACCTTTCCAAGACAGATAACTTAATAGACAGATAACTTAATAGACATACTTTCCTTTTTTTTTTTTTTTAGACATACTTTCCAAACAAACTTTTAGGATCTCCTTTCTTAAGTAATCTGTTAAGGATTAAGAATTTCCTCTAGTTAAGAAGTCTGCTACACATGAGACTTAGATCTTTAAAAACATGGCAAACACTGCTATTCTTCAGTCTTATTCTCTTGATTAAATGCTGACATCATCAAAACCAATCACCAACCGTGTGAGGCAGAAACTAGTTTAAAAGTGTGAATTCTAAGCAAGATTCATTTTCTCACCATTCTTTTTGAACAACATGTAGCATGTCCGCAATGGTGGCTGGTTCACAAACCATATAGATTCCCCATAATCCTGTATCTGTGTAGGAAGTGTTGAAGGATTGGAAGCTATGACAGAGGTTGCCATGACAGGTGAGTTGGGCCAGCTTGCTAGACAGATTCTGTAAGGAAAAAAATTGTCCAAGACATCTATAGGTATATGTGCCCAAATTACCAGAAAGAAAAATGAGTCCTATGGCAAATAGTGAATGCCCCCCAGAGACTGAGTTTATCTAGCAATATCTCAACAAGAACTTAAAATTCAAGGAGACTAAGTCCTCAGAAATTCACGATGTAAAAGCAGTGAAATCTTGTAATTAACATAGTAGCCCCACCACTTCTAACGTAATTCACTGCTGTTATCAACCCAATTTGCAGGGCTCTTGGCTGTGTATGCTTAAAGATTTGAAAATCTATTACATGTGAAGCCTAAGATATTTATATGAAATATTTTCTGCTGAAATCTTCAGTACAAACATACTTTGTATTTTGAATTTTAGAAGAGTTACAAAAATAGTACAAGAAATTCCCTTTATCCAAATTCCCTAAGAACTGTTACTTCACCATGTTTATCATGAACAAATTTTCTCAGCTGTTTGAGAATACAGAGATCTGATTTTTTACCCTTAAATGTTTTGTATACACATCTGAAAAACAAGGAAATTAGCCTCCATACAGAATATTAACATTGATATGATACTATTAGTGAATTCTATCCTTATTCAAATTTTACTAATCCAACTTACAAACTTTATTATATACACACAAAAAAATTTTTCTGGCCCAGAATACAATCCAGGATCAGTTTATTTTATTTTTTTTAATAATATATTTTGTATTGGTGTTCAATTTGCCAACATACAGAATAACACCCAGTGCTCATCCCGTCAAATGCCCCCCCTTCAGTGTCTGCCACCCAATCACCCCCACCACTAGTTCATTTCCCAGAGTTAGGAGTCTTTATGTTCTGTCTCCCTTTCTGATACTCAGGATCAGTTTATATTTTACAAGTCTAGTCACAGTAAAGTTCCACCTTGTCATTTATTATGGAAAATCATTTTTAAAATAACTTACCATTCCTCCCCCAAAAGAACGGTCCCAGTTGCCAATGAGTGTGTTTGCAACCATGAGACAGATTGTATCTGGATGTGCCCAACCAACGGCCTCAACAGCTACTGCAAGATGTGCCAAAGGCATCTTGTCGTCCCTCACTCGAATCTAGTTAGCAAACGAAACAAAACTCTAGTTAAGCCTGCCACTGTGTAATAGGCTTAATGAGAAAGAGGATTTAATCATGCCACCACCATGTTACATTGAACAATCTAATCTGGAAAAATTTATTGGGTTCTGGAAAGAACACCTCACCAAAAGGTCTCCAAATGAAATACTACAGCCAGCCACCAGAGGACTGATGCCCTCTGTACCCAGGGATACCTCAGTACATTTTTTTTTAAGTGGAAAAGAATATGAGTGTTCTCTGAGCTCTGCTATCAGAATTCAGGAATAAAATAATTGCATCTAAATTTCTGAATAAATCCATAGCTCTCCAAATATTGACTGTTGGCCATCCAAAACTTGAGAAGAATAGGTTCTATATACATGACTATTCAAACTCATGACCCAAACACAGACATTGATGGTCAAAAAGTATTAGGTTATTTCACTGGTAGAAATCAGCAGTATTCTAATACTGACATAACAGGCTTATTTTTGTGCCACTGATGCTACACAGCCCTGTGCCTCTGCCAACATCAGACCTCTCCATGTACTTTCAGTATCATCCCTAATGTGGCAAAGGAGGCCTCTGATGAGCTTCAGGCTACAGCTGACAAGTAGCCAATTCTCTGCGAGTTCTGTGTCTCCCAACTACTCACAGAAATATACTGTGGGCAGAACTTAACCAGAAGTAAACCCGAGATTAAGTCAAAATCTGGGGCATTTTAAAAACATTTTTATACCTCACAATATATAAATGGGCATAGTGTCAAAGCACAAAAAGAGCAAATTATAACATTTCTCTCAAAACCGTGCTTCCTTAGGAAAGAGAGGTGGTTAATAATACGGAATATAAGCACGTGAATACAACCTTTCTTCCCTTTTTAAGCCTCTGGTTTCCTCCATTTTACTCCTGTTAGAAACAAGCACATTTTGTATACTCATTCATAAATACAACACAAGAAACCCAAAGGGCTAAATATAAATACTAGCTAAGGAGGCTCACCCTACCTCACTTCCTGTGAATTTGCAGGGAGGCAGAGCTGGTATTTCTCCTTTGTGTGTGGACAAAGAATCACCAAAATGAAAGTTTGCTAACTCAAGCAGTTCATCATGGGAAACTCCTAAATTGAAGGAAAATATTTCATATATCTAGTAGCAACACAACCTAAAGCAGACAACTAACTGCCAAGCTTTGTTAGTAAGCTCAAGGTGGTATAATGTGGTTAAAGCCATTAAAGAGTAAGCTCACAGCACACTTTCCTTGCTATTATACAGTTAGGGGTTGCACAGCTTTCTCAGTCTGTAGAATAATTAACGGTTTTCATCAACATAAATTCACAGCTAAAGATGGTAAATACGACATTCCATACAAAATCATGTTAAGTTACTGAAAGTCCCAGAATGCAAAATAACAAAAACACTTTTCAGTATTTTTTTAAGATTTATTTATTCATTCATTCATTCATTCATTCATGATAGACACACAGAGAGAAGAGAGAGAAAGACAGACACAGGCAGAGGGAGAAGCAGGCTCCGTGCTACGAGCCTGACGCGGGACTCGATCCCGGGGCTCCAGGATCGCGCCCTGGGCCAAAGGCAGGCACTAAACCGCTGAGCCACCCAGGGATCCCTCAGTACATTTTTTTTTAAGTGGAAAAGAATATAAATATGAGTGTTCTCTGAGCTCTATCAGAATTCAGGAATAAAATAATTGCATCTAAATTTCTGAATAAATCCATAGCTCTCCAAATATTCACTGTTGGCCATCCAAAACTTGAGAAGAATAGGTTCTATATACATGACTATTCAAACTCATGACCCAAACACAGTCAGTGAAGGATTCTTAAACACAAAGACAGATTTAGAAAACGAATTTAGGTATGCAGCAAGTGCTTTAAAAAATATTCCTCCAAGGGTTCTTCATAGGAAACATTCCTTTAGAATGTAAAAGCACAACTTACACCCATATTTCCCAAACAAATCTGGTACAAAACAAGACCATGTATGATTGATTCCATGTTTTCAGAAGCACTGTGTAGGGGAGCCACCCTG